AGTCTATTGGCGCTTTTCCACTGCGTGGTACGACTCGGCTCAGTACGGCACGGCACGGTTCGGCTCGGCTCGGGTTGCGTTTTCACTGCAGTTCAGTACCGCTTTAGAGTGGGCGGGATTATTCACATGTCGTTATAGTTGTGCCGCCTCTACTACCACGACTCCTAAAAAAAACGTTTTCATTCCGTGTCGCCCCATCAAGCTCTTGCTGGATCCGCTCCTCTGCTATCAACGAGAGGAACGTCTGTTCTTCCGCAACAGACAACAAAACTTTTTGGTTGTTAAAAAAAGGTGCGCTTGTTCAAAACAGTTGCGTTCGGTCCTTCGCTGGCTGTGCAGATTTAAATCTAGTGGTTCTTTTGTGTTTGTGTCGCAAGTTCAGTGACGCAGGTAGTAACGATTCTCTCCGGCCAATCCGTGATCAGCAGAGTTTACACGTCACGTTTTGGTAACGGTACGGTTCACTTGGAACCCCAACCGAGGTGGTACTAAAAAAAGTACCAGGTACCAGGTACTGTACCCAGTGGAAAACCCCCCAAAAGTGAACCGTACCGAGCCGTACTGTGCCGTACCATGCAGTGGAAAAGCGCCAATACTTCCCTACTATATAGAAGGCAAAAAATAGTATGTGTAAAGAATAGTATATCCACATTCACATTGTGTATAAAATAGTAAGAGAAAAGTACACACACACACACACACACTCACAAAAAAAAAAACAAAAAACAATAACTTGGACCAACTTTTAAAAAAATGTTACGGACAAATTTCAGTTGTTCTCAAATTATTGTTGTGGTTTGGTTCAAATCTTACATTTTGATTTAATATTAATCCAAAATAATGATCCCAAAATGAAAACATTCATATAAAATAAAAAGATTATTTATTGCAAAGACTACCATACTTAAAATATTTTCTTTAGACATAGGCCAAAATGTTACTTAAAGTCGGTCCAGCACACGACCAGCTTAAACCAGCAGCCATGCTTCAAAACATACCTAACCAGCATATGCTGGTTTTTCAACAGGGCTACTACTGGCACTGAAGTGCATCTCTGATGAACACTTTACTATCCCACGAGGCCATGGATGTGGATTTGTGAATGCCAGTGAAGCAACACAACTGATGCTGGTAGGGTCACATGACAATGACAAAATAGTCAATGTAGTATATCTGGATTAAACTTACACTACTACACACATTCATACTTTATAGAACATACTTTTTAATGGTTGCAAGATAATTACTTATTCAAAAGAAGTTCAGTACCTATTCAGACAGTATGCGATTTCAGACGCTGCCAAGGTATTAACAAACCCTATCCCATGCTCTAACCCTAAACTGATTCCTACTCCTAACCACAACCCCTAACTTTCAAGCCTCTTCTCAAACTCTTACCCCAGTCCCTAGAATTAGCACTGAACCCTGCTCAGTTTTTCCTTTGCTTAAATCATGCTAAAGCATGCTATTGTTCACTGAGGTCCAGCTATGGTGCATGCACAGTCTACAACAAGGACTGTCGTGAAGACCATGTAAAATTGAATTGAGAAACTGGACTCAGCTTGGATCCTGGTACTCACTGGCTGTTCGTCCTTTCCCTAGAATAGGGATTTGAGACTGAACCGGAGGATCCGCTGTGGCTTTTCTCTTATGAGTTTTGGTGATTTTATCCACGTCTGGTTGATTTCTGGTCATCTCTTCCATGAATGTCTGGTACACAAAAAAACACAAACAGCTGTTTCTATAATTCATACTACTAAACTTTGACTAACTGTGTAAAGGTGTTAAAGTGAGCCCTTCATACAGCTCTTGATGCTACCTGGTGCTCAGCGATGAGCGATTTGACTTCCTCTAACTCTTGAGGAAGAGGTTCCTTGTCTTTCTCGCCGAGTGTGGTTTCAGCCCACTTTAGCCAGTTCAGCAGGTTCTCCAGCAGTTCTTGCGTGGCCAGCAGTTCGGCCAGAGCACTGGAGAGTCTCTGCTGGTGCTGACGTGCCCAGGCTGTTACCTGACACAGACGCAGAAATCAGATCATACTGTAGACAGTGTCGACTGTTAAAAGGGACATCGGATGCCCACTTTCCACAAGTTGGTATGATTCTTTAGGGTCTTCGTGAAATGTCAGTAACATACTTTCGTTAAAATTCCTCAATGGTCGTGTAAAACAACACCCTTTTTATCTTGTCAAAAACAGATCTGTTCACAGCGAGCCGTTTTGGTGCATGTCTCTTTAAATGATAATGAGCTCTGCTCACCCCGCCCCTCTCTTCCGTGGGGCGTGTTGACACAAGACTTGTGAATTGCTGCCTTGGACTCCGTATATGGCTCGGAGGGGGTCTTATTCAAACAGTTAGCTAGCTACGTAGAAACTGGCTGCAAATTGAAACAGCTCGCTGGATGACAGTTTCAGACCTATAACGAACTGGCTGTGTGTTTTCTTTTCAGTTTTTCTGAGCTGGCAGACACGCCAGAAACCTAACTAGATGCAAAAAAGATAAAAGTGAAAATGTCATCCGATGTCCCCTTTAACAGTTATGAATCACCCATTGAGGGATCCGACCTACAACCTTTTGGTTACCAGCCCAGATTTTTGAGGTAGCACACAAAACAGGAAAATACTTTCTTGATCTGGCTGCCTTCACGCAGCTTTCGAAAATAACAGAAAAACTTAGTTTTATAAGTCTGTCTGGAACTGTTGTATTTATAAAGTTAATAAAATGAGCACTTTTGAGGAAGAACTAGTTTCTGGATTCATTGGTTCAGATGAGAGTGGTATGAAATCTCTGAAAGACACTCAAGGCAGATCCATGTTTTCTGCTTTTTTCCCCCCTGTATTTTTGTATTTTCCTCCCTCTTTCAATTATTGTGGTAAAGTCTATGTGAATGAATGTGTTTGGACATTTTACATGTCCCTCAGATGGTCTCTTTCTGACTAAGTGAGCGGAACTTAAAACTCATCTACTTTTATTCAAATATGCATATAATGCCTAAATATGATGTACTTCTCATTAAATGTCCCTGAATGATTTAGAGAAAACTTATAGAAATAGACAAACCTCCTCAAACCGTGCTTTGATGATGGTGTTCCAGTGTTTGATGGTGGTGATGGAGTCTGGGTGGCAGATGGACAGGATTGCCTCTCCCATGCTTGTGGCTTTATTCAGGGCCAGTCGCTTCTCCTCCAGCTTCTTCATAAACTCCTGCATGTATTCTTCCATTAGCAAATGGTCATGGTTACACAAAGAGCAGCCCATCTCCAGCAATACTGCTGCATGATCCGAGGCCATGAATAATGCCTCAGGACGAGTGTTGGGCAAAGTTAGATGTGTGAAATGCATTTGGCTCGATAATTACAAGAGAAAGCTCAGACACTGTCCACAATGCAAATAAGCACTGTGACTCAATGTGCCAAACTAGACTGCTTCCACTATAATTTAATAACATAATTCAACTAAATGGTCTACACTGCGAGTGGTGCCTCTAAGAATAAAGAACAATTTATTGTCAGTAAAATAAATACATAAATGCATAAATAAATAAATAAATATCTAAGGGCTAATGTACAGTCAGCTATTATAAACTATACTCAGACAGGGTGATCAGGATCCTGATGCAAAGAATACATTATTACATGGCTACTTACCAAATAAATAAATGGATGTGAAATAGCAAGGTGAGATCATTTTAAAATAATGTGAAAATAAATACCAAGAAAAAAAAAGCAAAAATACAAAAATAGTAGACCACATACATAACTGAAAAAAAATGTACTTGAGTATGATGGTGTAAATTTAAAATGTCATTTGTTAAATTACTTATTTCAAAAATGTTACTTCAAAAACATGATTATGTAGAGTATGTATGCCATCGATGGCATCCTATTCCCAGTATGCAGAGATTATGTATCTATCATTAATAACTGGTGTTTAAACCTTAGGAGAAACCCCATCATCTCCCAGGATGTTTGCTTCCTCAAACTGTGGACGTGAATAATGTCTCGGGGAACAGACTATTTTGGATATTGAATATGAGATCACACTATATGGGTTGAAATATGGGTTGAACTCTTTCCTGGCAAGCAGTAGTTAATAAAGATTTGAAGCCATGTATGGCTTTTGTTACTCAGTTGGACGTGGAGAGAGATCGGGCTATGGATCACTACCTCACATTATGAGTGGAGCTAATAAAAAATGTCAAGAGTTGTGGAAAACACAGACACACGTTCTGTCTTGGAAAGATTACGATCCCTCTGGCACACACTTGCATTTGAACTCAATGCTGTAATGTAGAACAGATACGATTTCATTTTTTGTGTTTACTGTGGCCCATCATTTTTGCCAGTAAATACTGATATGCTATGGCCACTAAAAGGTTTTACAAGGTAAACGTCACACTGATTAATTTTTCTCATGTGGATTATTTGCCATTGTTGTAGGAAACTTGCCTTGTGCTGTTCAATGAGTGCGCGGAGGGCTTCTTCATCGTCAGGCAAGGCACCGTGGAAGCGAAGGCTCTGCTCGGCCTCTGCAAGCCACTCCAGTAAGATATGAACAGTGGAGTGGAACTCCTCAGCCTGAGGAACGATGCACAAATGTGTAAAAAATGTGCATTCGCAAAGAACTATTTTTTTTTTTTTCCCTAATTTTTTTTTATATTTTTACGTTTTCCGTGACTCTTGAAACCCTATGTTTTGGAGTTCATTGCACTATCAAACATACTGCTACTTTCATAAACAAAAACTTCCTTTGAAGGCTGGAGCAGCACACACTCTATTGGATCTGACAGCAATTCTGACACTTGTAAGTTAGTTTTGATAATAGTTTGACATGAAAGGTTAGCCAATCATAACCGTGGTAATTAACATAGATGTTTTTACAGTAGCTTGTTTTATTCTAACGGTCAAAATTGTTATTAAAAGCGGTCATGAGTGTAACATCTGGCAGCGTGATTGCTGATGACAGACGGCATGTCTTACCTGACACAGTGCCTGCTCGAGCCGTGTCTGTTTGGACACAGAGAGGCTGCACACCGTCTCCCAGCGCGTGCTCAGCTCTTGCATCTGAGCTTTGACCCAGGACGAGTCATCGTGGCTGCTCTCAATAAGCTCACGGGCCGAGCGCTTCAAAGCCTGCACGCTGCCAGTCCTTTTGCCCAACTCTTTCTGGAACACCTGCAGTACACATGGAGAAATACATTCAACATTCAACCCATCCACTTTTAGCTGCCTATATAGACAGCATTCTAACTGAAATGGAACCTCATAAATGAGTGATTTGGAAAGCTCTACATAGGCAGCAATATTATCATATATATGCATTTTCTAAAACTCCTAATGCTAATGTGATGCACTAATAATCATAAAACGTATATAGCATGGATAGATGTTGGGTTAAACAGTTAAGCTGTAATTCGATTTCAAGACACCAGTTTTTTACGAACTATTTCCAGTACTTACTGAATTATTTTTATAATCAATCACATTTTGTGTGCCTGTGCAATGCTGTCTACAGTATGTCACGCCAGAGCCCATGTCCATCTCTGATGTCATCACATTAGGGACCAGTTAAGAGGTACTTGTCCATTGCTATCAATCACGCTCATAACGTTATCAACAGCCAGGCTTTACGACATTTGCACATCACCAGGTTTTAATTATGTAGCCTATGACTTTGCTTCAGCATTGGTCATTACAACAAAAAAAAAGGATGTTGGCTCTGTGACTTTGATGATGTGGTGTATGAAATATGAATCAAATTAGGTGATCCTTCTTTATCTTGCGACTACATAAATGCTGAGATATTTATAGAATCTTGTCTAAAAGCTGGAATTTTATTTTAGCCAGATCACCCAGTTCTTGATTGCATCCATAGAAATCATGCGTAAACAGCACCAAACATAGTCAGAAGACTGCTGGTGACCATTTGCTCAGGCTAAGGCCTCAATTACGAGCGTGAATGAGGTCTCCTCTAGGCTCATCAGCTCAAGTGTGTTCTGATGTCTACTCTAGCGATGTGTTTGAGTCCGTCTTGTCAGCGCTCCTGTCACCTCTAACTGAAACCAGTGGGTTCGGTCATATTACTCTCCCTCTGATGATACTACAGTGTAATTATATTTTATTCTTGACAGAACCAAGAAGTTAAAAACACGCGGACGGATATTTTAAGAAAGCTGCTCAAGGCTTGAAACATGCACATGCACACAGCAGCAGTACTGAGATCAGAGCATGGCATGGGTCAGACTGGACGTCCCGTCATGTACAACTGCTCTTTTGAGTCATGAGCATGTGCGGTACCCACCAAGTTATATCCTGTGTCATCAACGTATATAATTATTGTTATTTTTAACTAGATTTGTACAGTATTTTAGGTGAGGTTTGTTCTGGCACGTCGAGTTTAAGCTTCTGTTGATTACAGTATTTGATGTGCTCTATGTATGCGCATTGATCAACATTGACCACAAAACCAGTCATAAGGGTCATTTTTTTTAAATTGAGATTTATACACCATCTCAAAGCTGAATAAATAAACTTTCCATTGATGTATGGTTTGTTAGGATAGGACAAATTTGGCCGAGATACAACTATTTGAAAATCTGGAATCTGAGGGTGCAAAAAAATCTAAATATTGAGAAAATATCGATAATTTTGACCCATACAATGTATTTTTGGCTATTGCTACAAATATACCCCAGCGACTTAAGACTGCTTTTGTGGTGCAGGGTCACATATGTGAATAAAAGCCTAAATTAAATCCGTCCAGTAAAGCAAATCATGTCTCTTCAGAAGAAGTGGAATACACCGTTCAATTTACAGTGGTGTGAAAAAGTTTTTGCCCCCTTCCTGTTTTTTTAATTGTTTGCATATTTGTCACACTTAAAAGATTCAGATCATCAAACCAATTTTAATATTACGCAACAAAAAACAGGAAGGGGGGCAAAAACTTTTTCACACCACTGTACATGGATTTCTTTTACAATGTGCTTATGATGTTTTTAAAATCCTGAAAATGATGAGAGAATATAAAAAATATCTAGGGCTGTGCCAAAACAATCATATAATATATTGTGGTAGTTTTTCGTGATATTGTATCATTACTTTAGATATCTGTATCTTTAGATATCAATTTCATTCATTCATTCACTCACTCATATCATGTCCTACAGTTCAGTATTGAAGAAGCAGGTTGTGTAAATCAGTCAAACTCATGCGGGTACCTTATGGCTGTCGATGAGGTTCAGCACGAGGTCTATGTCTCCATGCACGGGCTGATCTTCAGCAAGCTGTGGTTCCACTTTATAGAGCCAGTCGATGAGAGCCTGCAGTGCGTCTGTGAACTGACCTGAGAACAGCAGAGCCTCCTCCAGCTTATTCTGCCTGTAGAAAAAAAAATAGCCCATATGATGTCAAATACACAGTTGTGACAACATATCCTTTTGTCTCACCATGAATCATGGACAGTTAGTTGACAAATAACACAGATATTAAATATTGTTTACTCAACATTAATATCTGAGGTCTGAATTCATATGAATGCATAAAGGAAAAATGGGTAACACTTTAAAATAAGGTTTCATTTGTTAGCATTAGTTAACTACATTAGTTAACATCAACTAACAATGAAAAATACATCTAAAGCATGGTTAATTTTAGTTCTATCATGAGAACTCTCTGAAGATTTTAGCATGGTAATGGATGACAATGTTAATGTATTTGGTCTTGGCGGAAAAGATCTACTACGCTGCTGCTGCTGCTGTTGGTTATTGCTGTATTTGTAGATTATTGCTGCTGCTGCTGCAAGCAAGTACAGGAACTTGCTACTGCCAATACATAAGCCGATATGGTGCTGTGAGTATTTAAGACATACTGCTGCTGCACAAATAGCATATAAAATAACCCATAGCAGATCTATACAGGTGGAGCTGGGGAAGGTGGAGGGTTTCAGAGGAACTCTGAAAGCACGCTGCAATGCTCAAGCGAATGCTAATCAGCCATTTAAATGTAAATCAGCAAGCTCATTGGCTGCGTATGCAACATATACCAATCAGCTTGTGACAAGTCGTTTAATGCTAAGAATGTCATCAGTTACGTTAAGGACCCATCAGCCTGCGCCATCAAGAGTTTCATGACAGAACTTGGTATTTTATTGTAGTTTTAGTTCATTTTGATGTTTACTAATACAATAAAAGCAAAAGTTGTATCTGTTAATATTATTTAATGGATCTGAGTTAACATGAACTAACAATGAACAGTTGTATTTTTATTAGCTAATATTAACAAATAAATCCTGTAACAAATGTATTGCTCATTGTTAGTTAATGCATTAACTAACATTTACTAACAGGACCTTACTGGAAAATATATATTTTAGGTGTTCTGAAAAATCAAATAAGCCTAATTTGAATAAAGCCTGAAATAGGCTTAATTTTGTTTATGCAAAATGTATACATCCATTTTTAATAGGGGAGATGGATATGTGTTTTTCTGAAATCCACCCAAATGCGCATGTACCTCTCCACAGATTTCCCGCAGACTGTGTCCCATTTGTCCCTGAGCTCACTGAGCATGTCGTCCAGTTTCTGGTTGTCATCTTGCAAGGAGGTCTTGTCCTTCAAAGCTCGGCCCGTGCGACTGGTGGTGTCACACACCGAATGCTTGCTGCCCAGAGTTTTCTGGAACTCCTACAATCCCCCCCACACAAGACAAACAGAGGCGAAGGGTCATTCAAATATAGCTCAAGGGCACGCGTCCCGCAAGCCATCCTGTGAGGTCTTCCAGGAAGCCTGATGTCATCAGATCCTGCCATTTGTATTTGTGACTGACTCATCAGAACATCTGAAGCACTGCTGAGCTGTTAATTACATACCAACATGCAGCACTAAGATCAGGATCACACAATCCTACTCGTGTCCTGCTTTAAAACCACTGATGGTGCACATCATCTGTGACTGAGGAGCCCGACTTCAGTTTTAAAGAATTGCAATTGAAAAACATCTAACATGCTCAGTCTGTTTACTTCCATTTTTTAGGCATTGTGTGGCCTGAAACGGTGAACTCTTTAAAGTTCTGGGGAAAAAAATCATGTACACCTCTTTAAAATATAAAGATCACCTCCCAAAAAGTGGGGGAATTAATTAGACAGGAGTATAACAGGATGCCACTTCTTATGACCCACAGTCAGTGAAAAACACAATAGCCGTGAGTGAAAAAGCACCTGGAATTGTGATTCACACTGTCCATCAGTTGTTCCACATTCACAGATGGGGGATACAAACATGGTGTGAACAGGAAGTCTATATGACCCCATTTAAACCTGCAATTTACATCCATTTTTTGTGATCGGAGCACAAGTGGTCAGCGCTAAATATAGGTGCGAATGAGTAAATTGTTCAGTGCATTGTGTAGTTTAAATGCTCATCTGTCCTGAATGTGACCACGGTGAAACAAAGCCTAAACGTAGCAGATTCACGTGATCTCTCACAGCAAAACAAGCGATTTAAACTTTGGTGTGTTGTCCACATGGATTACAATCGCCAATTACAGCTGTACTCCTAACCCTTTTTATTTGCTTCCATTCCCTCTCGCTCATAAGCTGTGTAACATGGGTTTGTTTGTTCAATTTTCATCCCCATGAAAGTGATGTAGAGTGTGTCAAAATAAGAAGGGAGCGTCTCGAACGAAAACTGAACACAAGTGCTCACAGGAGAGGCATTAGGAACGCATGTTAATACCAGTGGCCGGTTGCATAAACGGTTTAAGACTAGTTTTACAAGTTAGTAATCTCATTTTTTTAAGAGAGGTCAACTGCTAGTTGGCCAGACTAGTTCTTTACCTAGTTTTAGCATAGTGACTGTGTTTATATAACTATCAGCATGTGGAAATGGTGTCTCGGCTGACCGCTTGTGATGGGATCACTGCGAACACATCTTAATACCAGACGTGTATTGGACAGGGAAATGGACTGGTGTCGGTCACCTTGTGCTGGGATAACTGCATCTTGATCTTGTCCGGATCATTAGCGATCTCCAGCTCAGAGTCCAGCGCTCTCTCGGACTCTTCCAGCCACTCCATCAGTTTGTTCCAGGTCTCATGGAACTGCAGAAGACGAGAGCGTGAGAATCCATCAGTGTAGTACGCAGTATTATTACAGCATATTCTTTTTTCCATGATTGAACCACAGAGAATTTCTTTTGGCTTTTTTTACACTGAACAAAAAAAAAAATATTCCGTCATGTCCAACAAGTTTGCTCAAAAATCGATTACAGTTACTAAATAATCGTTTGCATACAAAGTCAACCCCTCAGGTCAGTATTTATCAGATGCGCCTTTGGCAGCAATTCCCAAGTAATCTGTGTTGATACTGTAGGTCTTTATTATCAGCTCTGCACTTCTGGCCACTGCAATGTTTCTCATTCTTCTTTGTAACTCCAGCTCAGTCTGGCTGCATGGAGCTTGTGAGTGCACAGCCGTTTTCAAGTCCCCTCATAAATTCTCAATTGGACTTGGACTTTGACCAGGACATCAACATTGTTGTTTTAAGCCATTCCTGTGAAGCTCTCGCTTTATGCATTGGGAATTACAAATCTTGTGTCTTGTTTTACAGGGAAAATACAGGGATTTCCCGGTACTGTCTTATATTTATTTTATCCTATACCCTTTATGCAGACCCTTTCACAGTCAAGAAGAATCCCCACAGTATGTTGCTGCCCATGAGTGATCTTCATATCCTCTTATGTTATGAGTTTAAAAAAAAAATCTACCGCATTGACGATTTAGGTGTGTTATATTAAAGAGTGTAAAATCACTTTGACATAAAAGAGTCTCATTACGTTGATCAGTCGCAAAAGAAGCCAAATTAAGTTCTCTGTGATTCAATCATTCCTATAGTGACTATATCTAGCAAGGATGTGTGATTACAAAAAGCATGGCTTTTAAATGAGTTCTATCCCAGGGGTCCTCTCCCACCTGTTTGGCACGTTTCCTGGCATCGTCCAGCAGGCGTCCTCTCTCCACTGATCTCTGCACGACCTTCTCCCAGCGGCCTTGAACGCTCAGCAGGAGGTTCTTGATCAACACCACGTCCTGTTTCTGACTGAAGTACTTGAGGTGTGTTCCTGTCTTATCCAGCTCGATGATCTGATCCCGATGTGAGTTCACCTCAGTCACAAACACCTGCAATTCCAGCAGATCCATTTTAAGAAAGTTAAGAAAATTTAATTTTGGAAAAGGACTGTTTCTTTCAAGTGCAAGAATATGGCTCATTTAAAGTCACAATGAAATGCAAGTAGCAACAGATAATAACGATTTTTCTCATAATGTAATAGATTATTTTATGAGAAATGTATTACATTATGATCACACTGTAGCAACTTATAATGCAATCACAGCTTGATAAACAAGCACATAAAGTACTGTGAAACAATGTTTAAATTATAGTAATAATCAGTAACACTTTGTTTTACAGAGTCCTTGTTGCAGTTACTGAAGAGGGCTTTTTTAGGCTATACGTTGTATACAGTGTTTTGTACAGTTTGTCATTTAACAGTATGTATACATTTTATTGTCAATTTAAAAAAATATTTTATATATTTCACATGCTTATGTATTTATAAGAAGTAATGCACAGCAACAACAACATTAATAATAATAATAATTGCATGAATATTTATATCTGGTGCATTTTATTATTACAATTATAATAATATGACAATGTTTTTAGTGAATTTATAATGTAATACATTTCTTACAATGTAAAAAATATTACATTATTAGCTTAGGATTTTATTACGTTTTAGAAAAGTATTACATTATGAACATTTTATTACATTATTAATATAATACTTATGTGTAGTTGTCACATTACTCTTTGTTATTACATGATGCAAAACGTTTTATGCAAAACATGCACAGATGAATTGTTCACAATAAGATCAATAACATGCGTTTAAAAAATAGATGGGGTGAGTTTTCATTTCATGCTGAGATTTAGCAATAAGCCACAGTAAGCTGCATGAAAGTTTTTGTTAGACTTGTATATCATGTTGCATATCATGTCAAAGAGCACTGACCTTATGCTCATCTATCTGGAACATGACGGTCTCCAGGATGAGGGAGGCAGGGGAGACCATAGTAAGGGTCTGTTCGGCCTGCGTCAGCCAGTTTATGAAATCCTGTAGTGAGTTATGGAAGTCTGTGGCCATCGCCAGAGCCTCCTCCAGTTTCACCTATGGCCGATCAAACACAAACACATCCTTTCATCTCAGATTCAACTGTGAGTCATTTGCTTTCCCGAAGTGTGAAATAAGCTGTTTGGCTTTATTGTAGAGAATAAACTAGTTTGACAAAGGAAGATGAGGATGGAGAAATGTTTGGGAAATGCGTTTGAAATCAATCCTTAGCGCTGCTTACTACAGCAAGTTAGTAACAAGACATGGCAAGACACTTCTTGATATTTTGTGAAATATGATGATATCTCGGTTATTTTGGAGCATTTTCCTCATGTCACTGAGGAGGATATGAGACACAGGAACTTCCCTTGCACCGCTGGATCACAGTCACTCAATGATCTCATCCAGCAGCATGTGACTCAGCACATGTCATGTGATGTCTGGTTAGCATCACATGTGAGGAGGTATATTTGCAAAAGCTGCAAACATTCAAGGATGACTTGACTATCACAGACGAGGTTCTGACAAGAGCGTGTGTGGTCAAATTCCTGTTGTAAGTGAACGTCTTTGCCAAGTCCAGATTCAACACAGCAAAGCGATCTAAATAAAAAATGACATTAATCTGACAGCCAGATCTGATTTGGACTTTTTTTTTATGAATATATGCTAATTTTGAACTTTGATAATTAGTTCAACCAGAACTGAATGTGTAGCTATCATTTACTCACCTATATGTATATTAAGAATACAGCACTCAAGTCTTATTTTTACTGTACCTTACTTTTCAAGCTGTTTTCATGGAGTTTTGGTCCATTTTATACATTTTATACCATATGCATTCATTGTATGTAAAAGAGAAGTGTGCTCATCCTTAAAATGTTCTCATTTTGAGCGGCACAGAAAAAAAAACAAATCATATAGATGTGGAATGATGATAGAAGTTTTGTTTTTGGCTGAACTTGTGGTTTATTCCACTTCAGCAACTTTGTAGAGACCCCAGACAATTCTACTTTGTTCTGTAGTGATTTATAACTCACTTTGGGCTTGTGCTGGAGTGAAAAAGAATCATTTATCTGACCACATCAAAGCACAACAGCTCACAGATCTGATATCACAGCTACATGAACATAATCAGCCGACAGCCCAGTGATGATGAGAATGAGTCAGACTGACAGGAAGAACACAGAGAGCCCTAACAGAGTAGAGTGAGTGAATCAGACTCTCACCTTCCTCTCTGTCACTTTGGTCTGAACACATTCCCACTTCTCCTGCAGGTTGCGTAGGTCCAGTTCAGTGGTGCTGTCTTGACCCTCAGGGGTCAAGGCCAAAATCTGCTGCCCTCGGTCAAGAAGCTGCTTATATATTTCCTCCTTGGCTTCCAGTGTACTGCAGAGCTCCTACAAACACACAGAGAGACATCGTGTTTACTGACAACCTGACATATGTTGACTATTCAAAGAGTTATTTCTGATATGTGAGCGTAAATATTTTTTTTTACACATCAGCAGAAATCAGAAAGTGTGAAGTCTCTAAAATGTTTCATAAAAACTGGGACAGATTTTTTTTTACTGCACTTTCATACAATTAGATAAAGCCGTTTGCGTTTTTCATCCTTATGTTAGTTTTAAATGACTAGTTCAGCCAAAAATGAACATTGTCAACATTTAATCGCCCTTATATCATTCTAAACCTGTAAGAATTGTCCTTCTGTGCAACACAAAATGAGATTTTGGAAATCATGCAAAGAGATTACAGACCAGGGTCTGTCAGGCTCCAATAAGAACTGTGAATGTAGTTCACAACAAAAAAAAACACTAAAACACACACTTCTATATAGTGCTTTGGACATTTTCGGAACTTGATTCTGATCACTGTATGCTTCTATTTTGCATGAAAAGATCAGCTTGGAGATTTTTCATGTTGCATTAAAGAATGATTTGTTCGTGAACCGGACATCACTCCAGACCGTAATAATTTTGTGTTTCTTGATATGCTTTATTATTCTCAAAGACGGGCAGCCGCCGACTTGCATTTAATGAATCACCAGGGACCAGGGTTTCAGCTAAAAATCTTCTGTATTGTTCTACTGAAGAAAATAAATTAACAGCAACTTTTCATTTTTGGCTGAACTATCCCTTTAAGGAGGAAAGTAAGTCATATGGGTTTGTATTGTCATGACAATGAGTGCATGATGACACATTGTTCAATTTTGGGTGAATTATTCCCCTAAACAAGACTGTTGTGATAAACATTCCTCAATAAAATACTTAAACCAAACCAAGCAAAACTGTTCTCAATAACTAATGCATAAATCTATTGTCGTTGAGATGTAAAATAAAGATGGTGTTGGTTAGTTGTTACAAGCTCGCCATACGTGGCAGATCTGTTGTAGTATTAAACACATACCAGATGGGTGTTAAGCTGCTCTCGGGCCGTTTCTGGTAAGCCTCCGAGGGCCTTTGATGCTAACAGCTGACGCTCTGTGTCTTTCAGCCACCGCTGCATGTCTTCAATCTCACCATGGAAACCTTGAGCCTGAAAACAGATCGGCCAGCGTCACAACAATAGAGTCACACATTCATTACCGCCAGCCGGAGGGGTGAGATTCAAGGGAGAGGCTTGATTAATGAGCACAGATTATTAGTCTTAAAAATGGCAAGTTTGTAGGAAATCTCTCAATTCTGAAACAAGAACAATGGTGTCTGGATTCAAAAAGAGTTAACATAGTCAATAAACAACAATATACAGTATTTCCTTGCTTCCTGTTTTATGTGAGAAAAAAAATAAAACTTAAAATCTTGATTCCAGTCTATAGAGCAATTGTGCTTTTTTATTTTTATTTATTAAAAAACACTTTAAAAATGTTGACATAGGTATCATTTTATATTAATTATATGTGATACATATAACGTTGCTCTTCAGTCAACTCATTATTAATTATACATATATGTGACCCTGGAGCACAAAAGCAGTCTTAAGTCGCTGGGGTATATTTGTAGCAATAGCCAAAAATACATTGTATGGGTCAAAATTATCGATTTTTCTTTTATGCCAAAAATCATTAGGACATTAAGTAAAGGTCATGTTCCATAAAGATATTTTGTAAATTTCCTACTGTAAATAAATCAAAACTTAATTTTTGATTAGTAATATGCATTGCTAAGAACTTCATTTGGACAACTTTAAAGGTGATTTTCTCAATATTTTGATTTTTTTGCACCCTCAGATTCCAGATTTTCAAATAGTTGTATCTCGGCCAAATTTGGCCTAGCATAACAAACCTTACATCAATGGAAAGCTTATTTATTCAGCTTTGATGTGGTGTATAAATCTCTATTTCAAAAAATTTACCCTTATGACTGGTTTTGTGGTCCAGGGTCACATATAAAAAATTCTTTTTTGACATTTAAATCAATTGGGAACGTTGTTTTATGTGATTGTTTCTACTTCTTCATTTGTATGGTCAATATATTCAACATCAGCGTTCAGTGTTCACATCAAAGTAAACTCTTTGAGTGAGAGCATGTGCGTGTATGAACATCTATCGCTTTACTGCTTCTCTTTCACATTCTTTAAGATTAAGAGAGGACATTTTTGGCCTCATGTTGAGAACATCATCAATCATATCTCCATTTTAGGAAACGCTCAGCCTCTGAGATTCCAGAGGGTTGCCAGGTCTCTGGCTGGCTCGTATTCGCTCCTGACCTGCAGCAGGGCACTGTCCAGAAGCTGTCTTCTCTGCTCCGTCTTCTCCAGGATAGTCCTCCAGCGCTGGTTGAGGTTCTCCAGCTTGTTCTGCAGACCTCGCGCCTCCTCTCCAGCACTGGAATCAATGAGGTCACTGCCGGCCTTGTTCACTGCCTCCACCGTGGTCTTATGGGCCAGCACATCGTTCTGCAACACCTACCCAATGGAAGGAAATGACGATACGTGAGCTGAACAGTGCTTGTTGACATCTGAGTGGTTCTGTGGCTCAACGACTGTGACGTACGTGGTGCTTTGCGAGCTCGATCTCGATGGCTTTGGGGTCGCCGCAGGCCTTCCTCTGTTCATTAAGCAGCTCTTCAGTATGAGTGAGCCAAGCCAGAAGTTCATCTAAAGCATGCTGGAACTGCCCTAGAGCCAACAGCGCTCCCTCCAGCTTGTGCTACAAGAGATCAGACCACACAACAGTCATCACAATAATGTTATCATTTGCATAGTGTAGTGAAACATCAAGTATTGTTGACAACATCAGCTTTATCAGGGGTGTGAGTTTGGGGCTGGACTTCCTTTTCAGCAGTCTAAATTTCTTTAAAAACAGTCAGCATTGCTGGAAATATGTCACATAATGGGGTAACACTTTACAATAAGGTAACATTAGTTAATGTTAGTTAATGTATTAACTAACATTAATGAACAATGAACAATACATTTATTACAGTATTTATTAATCTTTGTTAATGTTAGTTAATGAAAATACAATTGTTCATTGTGCATACATGTTAACAAGCACAACTTTTGATTTTAATAATGCATTAGTAAATGTTGAAATTAACATTAACTACGATTAATAAATGCTGTAGAAGTATTGTTCATTCTTAGTTCACGTTAACTAAAGCAGTTAACTAATGTTAATTAATGAACCTTATTGTAAAGTGTTACCCATATTTGAAATGCGTTTCAATGTTGCAATGTCTTGAAATAATTCTGTCACAGACAGACTGGCATTCACGAGCGTCATGCTTTCTATCCTTATCTCCACTTTTTTTAATTTTGTTGCAATTATATAGCTTATCGTACATATAAAATTCAAGAAGTTTATATCAGTAGTCCCATATTTATAATATGTATAGGCCTGTAAATATAATTACCGTAGAAATTGTTATATTGGAATTACTCCATTGTGATAGATGCCCCTTTTTATATTTGAGCCCCTTCCCCTGAGAAACTCTTTGCATTGCCCTGTATACATTGGATTTTAATTTAAGTTTTTTAATAACTATAATGTACTTGAAGTGTGCACCAAGCACTAGGAAATTACAAGTATCAGATTGGGACTCTGTTTCGGCAGATACTGAATATTCAATGACTTGGATTAGATCAGGGGCACAAAAAACTTGATTGGGACATCCCTACCCAAAATCCTTCATTTCCTATGAAGGAAGACCTTTGACTATCTTTGTGTAATTTACACTAGTGTTTTTTTTTTGTATTCTTTATTCTTTACTAATTGTGCATTAGATGGCATTTCTATAAATGCTTTAATTTCCCTTATTAGGATGGCAAAATGTGCACAATTAGAGGCACAATTAAACTGCACAGTTATTGCAGTTATCTAAAAAAAAACTACTTATGATTAATCAATAAATGCAACAGGCCTTGACATGAAATCAAAATTGATCCTATTTATACACATTTATAGTCTTTCTGGTTACTCATTTTTAACAATCCAATCAATTCCCAGTGGATAAAATCTGCTACTCTTTTGAATATCCTATTGCACCCTGGGATAGATCACATTACAGACACTAAATGGGTCATGAACAGCGTTTCACACTGATTTTAAAGTTTAGATCCTTCTCAGTGTCTGACCTGTCTGTTGATGATCTTTTTATCCAGGTTTTCCCAGAGCATTTTCAGCTCATTCATTGGCTCCAGGATGGAAGTGCGGTCGGCTTCCTCTACCACCTTCTTCAGCAGCAGCCCGGTCTGATGGTTCAGCCTTTCCATCTCGATCTGAAGCTGGTACGCATCACCTTTGAACTCCTTCACACACACGACAGCACAGCTTACATCAGGATACTGTTTCACTATGGCTGCATTTACACAGCAAGGATTAATGCAATGATCGGATATTTAGATTTTTGTTCTCCCTGTTAACATTCACTAAAGACATATCTGACTGTCTTTACGATAACATACTGCAGGCTATTGTGTGCCACTAATAAATTCTTGTAGGAATTACGTACAAATAAAATCTTGGGCTAAAAGCATGTTAATTCACCTACAAGCCAATGGTTAAAAAAATTACAGTTGTGCAGGCTCAAACCAACTGTGTAAGACGAAACAAATGAATGGCTCTGTGTAAACACAGCTGCTGTGTGGTCTGTCAGCTCAATTATACTCACGAAACAATCAAAAATGAAAGAGGCTGGAGATAAATAGCTTTCAACTTTGATCTGGATCTACTATGACTTTGACAAAAAGCAACGTGTCATGGCTATGAGAAAATCTCCCACAAGCAAGCAGTAAATCAATACCTTCAGCTCCTCGATCTGCTGTTTCACAGTCTCCAGGTCCGTGCCCACGGGCGACATCGAATCCAGTTTGCCTTCCATAATATCCACTGAGTCAAACATGCTCTGTCGAGGAGGAGGAAACTATTGTCACAGGCTGCACAACATCCGCACCTAGCATCGAGTCAAGTTTCACTTATAGCCCCGATACAAATGTGGCTCAGGTGACAGTGAAAATGAACAAAACTAAGCCACACCTAAACCAATT